GGGCAATAACACAATGAGAAAACCTTGAACAAGAGGCGAAGAACGTACAGATACTGTAGGTGGTTTGAAGAAGTAATTAACCTATGTTTTGTGCTCGCTAATTCCGTCTGTCTCCGAATAATTGATAAATCACCGGAGTTTCTAAGCTTTCCAATATCGCATTGGAATCGTAGACACATTTTGAGACTTTTCTTACTTTAATGACGTTGTCCAAGTCTGTTTTCGTGATCTTATCAGATTGTTACATCAATGTACCGGAAGCTTGTTTTGCAAACATGGAATGCATTATGCGTGGCACATGTACAGGGTGTCCTTATCTCTACTTGCTGAAATGCAGTACGTAGAAATTCTGTCGTCACCAAATACGTCATACCTCCTCTCCTTAAACTGTTCTTTGATAATTTTCTACTGAACCTCTACCTCTTGAAATAGACCCAGATATTTAATATGAGAGCCATAAATTGAGGTATCCAAAGCATGACATTTAATGTTAAAAAAGTATTGTTTTGTTATCATAATTCTACATTTTACGTCAACGATACAGGAAGCAGGTCTTTAATGATCGGGATCCATCAAAAACTGAGAATATAAAAAATGCTAACGTCATCCATATACTCGTTGGTGAACTTGTTGAACTGCATGAACGTGTTTGTGCACACTGTCAATCACAGTGACACTAACACGTGCGTCCTGACCATAAGTCGTGATCACGGTACAAGTTGTGATACTGTTAAGTTAAATCCATACCAATATTCGTGATAGTGGTTTTACATGTTTATATTATATTTCAGTTATGCACAAACCAAGTGATGCGGCATTCTGATACTCAGACCATCTTTGCCATGCTAAGAATGAAGAAGGAAACTGATGAGAGGCTGTGATATTTCACTGTAGTGATGCAGCAATATTGAGTATACAGTGCCTTAGTGTCATTACACTAACCTGGAAAAAAACTAGCTTCGGGACATTGCTCTCGCTGACATCATTGACTTGAAAGTTAATTTGACAAGGGTTGTGATGTCGCTATGATTATACAATAAATATTAATAACCATGCAATGTTTCCGCAATTTCGCTAACATCGTCAGTCCTATCGATGCAACAACGAGAAGCTATGAGTATAAGAATATAGCTCTTGGAAAACTTTTACGTGAACGTGTCATATTATGACGGTCCAATTTTAATTGCTTTTTCATGGAACCCACAAGTAGAAATACTACGAAAGGGAGAACTAGCCCTAGAGGACCATAATTCTAAACGTTCACGTACAAGTTAACTCACAAAACAGACTGAAAACACATAGCTTAACTTCACCAATATAATATCTATTGAAATAACTCGAACGTAAACGTGTAAATATAACCTGGGTTAATTACAACATTTTGTTATACTTTCTTACTCAAATGGGTAAATGAAAACCACGAAGGGGAAAAATTCCAGTCCAAGCAATGGTAACTCATAATCCATGATGAAAGCCTGATTATGAAGTAAAGAACAGAGTGGATGATATGAGGAACACTGCGTTTGTAAGTTCATTGTAATTGCGCTAGTCACGTATTGTAATCCTGTACAATAAGTGAGAACCTATATTTAAACCATCACACCTCCGTGTATATTATTTCAATTCATTTTGACATCGAATTCATATCGAGGTTACCTAATAATTCTTTTGCACCATATCAACAGTAAGGTTAATTTAACAAGGTTCATTAAAAAACAAAAGAAATACATATAGTTCATGACATTATTTCATGGTTTTCTAAAGAATATCTGTTGTCTTATGGGATGAGTATCAAAATGTAATGTCCTAAAAATGGATGTGCCATTTGACTTCATCATTGACGACAGTGTATAAATCCTTTGGCTTGGGCATTGTACCACATGTATTACATCAATCTAAGACCTTAGGATATTGTATCAAAAGTATTGCACCAGGCTGGGGCATTGAAAAAATGTATTGCATCGATGTAGTGGCCTATAGGCTATTGTATCAAATGCATTTCATCAAGCTAAGATATAGTATCAAGTGTATATTGAATCAATCTAGGGTATTGTATCAAATGTATTGCACCAATCTAGGATAGGGTATTGTACCAAATGTATATTGAAACAGACTAGTGTATTGTATCAATCTAGGGTACTGTACCAAATATATTGCATTATTAAATCTATAGCTAGGGTATTGTACCAAATGTATTGCATCAACCTAGAGTGCTGTACCAAATATATTGCATTAATCTAGGGTATTGTACCAAATGTATTATATCAATCTAGGGTATTGTACCAAATGTATATTGAATCAAACTAGTGTATTGTATCAATCTAGGGTACTGTACCAAATATATTGCATTAATCTTGGGTATTGTACCAAATGTATTGCATCAGGCTAGGGTATTGTATCAAATGTATATTGAATCAATCTAGGCTATTGTATCAATCTAAAGTACAGTACCAAATATATTGCATTAATCTAGGGTTTTGTATCCAATGTATTGTATCAATCTAGGCATTGTACCAAATGTATTGTATCAATCTTGGGTACTGTACTAAATATATTGCATCAATCTAGGGTATTGTATGAAATGTATTGCATTAATCTAGGGCTTTGTATCAATCTAGGGTACTGTACCAAATGTATTGTATCAATCTAGGGTATTGTAGCAAATGTATTGCATCAATCTATGGTATTGTACCAACTATATTGCATCTGCCAAGGTATTGTAGCAAATTTGTTGTATCAAGCTAGGACATTGTACTAAATGTATTGCATCGATCTAGTAGCCTACAGGCTATTGTACCAAATGAATTGCATCATGTTAGGGTATCGTACCAAATGTATTGCATCAGGCAAGGTATTGTAGCAAATGTGTTGTATCAAGCTAGGATGTTGTAACAGATTGAACAACAATCCAGGGTATTGTACCTAATGTATTTCAGCTTTAGATTATTGGGCCCAATGTATTGCATCAATCTGGAGTACCATACCAAATATATTATATCAAGCTATGATACTGTACCAAATGTATTGGATCAACATTGGGTATCCGGTACTGTACCAAACATTTGGACCAAGGGTATTGTACCAAGTAGAAATATATTTCTTCAAGCTAGATTGCTGCACCAAATGTATTGTGTCAGGCAATGGTATTGCACCAGGGGTACTGGACCAAGGGTATACAACCAAATGCATTGCATCCAGCAAGGGTACTGCACTAAAGGTAATGACCCAAGGGACAGGGTATGTTACCAAATGTATTGAATCAAAGGTATTCAACCTTTAAGTGTATGAGACCAAGGCTAACTATAAGATGATTCAGCTAACTTTCGAGTGAGGTTCTTCATTGAAGGATGGTCTACCTCTAGTACCTGCAGCCTCCCTTGTTTATCAGGACATATTCCTTCATAAGGTGGGGAGTGGTACAGATGACAGAAAGAACATATAAAGGCATAAAGGTGTTACAACCTGTGGGCACTCATCCGGGGTGCTGTAGTCTGACAAGACAGATACAGGCCTGAAAAGGAGTATACTAAATTCAATGCATCATACAGGAATTGAACCCAGGACCTTCCGCTTCAGAGTCTACTCTACCACTTGAGCTATCAAGAATTAAGTGAACACTGCTGAGCTGTAATAGCAACTTGCTATCTAGGGTCATAACAGAGGCATTGCATGTCACAATGTTGGTCATCAAGTGAGTAATACACTCACCATGGTCACCCAATTAGCTTAAGTTAGGACTCTGCATCAAACGTACTATAATATTTGTGTCCACAATTCGATTCCAACAAATTATTTTCCTACAAACGCAGGTGGTGTAGTATCCAAGATTTACAGCCCCTTGCCATAGACATCATATATGCACAATGTGCTGGCTCTTATTCAGTAATACCAGACTTTACCATACAAAAATAATAAGTACAGCCCATTACTCATTCAGCATTTTGCCTGTGACAATGTTTCCGAAGGCACATGACAGAAATGATCTAAATGACAGATCCATTCTGCTTTCTACAAACAGCCCCCATTAGTGTATTGATACAGGAAACATTATTGAGGTAATACAGAATGAAATCATGTGAAAGAACAAGCTTGATGAACATTTCTCTTTCAGAGAAAGAATACAGAACTCTGTGTAAGAGTAAAAGCTTCATTCTATGATCTTCGTAAGATATCAAGGCACTAATGCATGTCCTACTTATCTAATCTGTTCATTTCAATTTGTTCTCTGAATACTGTATAAGTGGTATTTAATATGAATGGTTAATTTGCCAAATGGTCAAATTTTATTCTAATTTTAATTTTCCTAATGACAAGAAACTTCCCATTGTATAACATTATAAAGATAATATTTCCGACATTCAATTTTCCCGACCTACAAAATTAGGCAATTAGCAAATTAAATGATTAGGCAAAATGACCATGTATACAGTATTGTCTTTGTTTCTTAAAAGCCATAGCTAAAATGGGTTAAAATATGCATTGGCATATCTCATAAATAAATATCACATATAAATTGGACAACACATGTTGGATATATGTGTAATAATGTAGTAAAATACATGTGCATGTTTAAAACATACAGGTTTAACATACAGGTATGAATAAAGGTCTAGAAATACAAAAGTTTGATAAATAATAGGTCTATTTTTGGGTCAGTTATTCTGCATATTAAGGGTAAGCAATAACGTTTGTAATTTCTACTGGAAACAATTCTCTTGCTTCTCTATTGAACAGTCATTAAGCTGAATTTAATTGAATATGTAATTGCATAAAAGAGATATATATGGTAAACTGTTAAAGTGACTTTCAGATAATTTTAGGCATGAAAACCTGCATTTCTAATTGAATGTAATTGGATAAAAGAGAAATGCATGATAAACTGTAAACTGTAAATAAATAAAAAAGAGATAGAGCTATTTTTAAAACATTTGTCTAGTTCTTTGGCCTACCCTGTATACAAACCTATTTTAGATAGAATTAACACAAAAACATGTGATTAAGGGAGACTTATTTATTTCATTCATCTTTTATAAAATTGTCAACAAGTACATGATTTCAAATACTATAAAAATCAATATAAACATCCATTTGATTTGTAATATTTATAGTAAAATACTATTACCATAGCAACATGAATCTCTTTTCAGAAAAGTACCATTCAGTTATTAAATGGTCTCTTCCATATATCAAAAGTCCAAAATGCATCCTTTATTGATTTCATTCTAGCCTCCTCTTTTAAATATCATACAATTTGTTATATTTTTTATTGATGATTTTTTTTTCGTTGATAATTGTCAGAAAATAAATGAAGTAAAACTTGTTAAGTTAATCTTAAAGAACACTTTTTAAAGTCACATTAACTTAGTATAGAATGAACCACTATTTAAGGAACACCTTTACAGTGAAACACTTTTTGAGAAAAACACTTTACAGAGGTGTAACTGAACTTTCATTAACTGGATTGAAATTTTCTGAACAAACAATGTATGATTAATGAATTGAACCAGGTCACCAATTGATGAATGACAATGATTCAGTACATCATTTTGTTCTACTTTCTTGCTATTCATTTTTATGATCCAATTTAGCAGATAAAACACTCAATATAATAATCCATACATTTTGATTGAATGGGGAAAAAATCTCTCATTCTGGGTCAAACATTTTATTGTGCCTATATTTTTGGCTCAATTATAAAAATATGTCAGTCTTTCTAGTTCTTCTATTCCGTAGGCCATTTCCTTAGAAAAATGCAAATGAAATATGTCGACACAGATAAATACTTCTGATTGATAGTAAATGACAAGTGCCCCAATAATATCATGACAACCCCTAAATTCACTTTCATCACAATTCTGTTGGATTTTACTTCTCTACATCTGGGCTTGTTTCATCACAAGGAGTGAATGAACTCTCAAATTTGATTGGCTGGCATGTTAAAGTGCGCAAGTTGACAAGGATGCAAGTGTTTGTTTGGCTGTAACGGGGGACCGTCAGCAGGAGTACTGTTTGTCCATTTGGTCCTGAAATACACAAATAGAAAAATACAATTAAATACATTAATCAAAAATACCATTAAATATATCAATGAAAAAATCCAAAATGGCTGTCTTCAAATTAGCCAGGATGCCCGAAATCTAAACAGTTCTAGAAACATCCATGAAAATTTGAAATCAATCAATTAAAAAACACCCTATGCAGACAGAGCCTGTGGGAAATATTGGGTGCGGCGCAAATGAGCGGAGGGTGCGGAGCTAACGGTCATTTTTGAATTTAAAATTGGGATATTTCTGAAACTAAGCCGTTTTGGGACTTCAAATATACCAAGATATGTGTATTTGACACCAAATATCAATAAAATTGTGAAAACAGTAGTGCAATTCATTTTATAGTGACGCAGTATGCCTTAAACATTTCCCAGACCTATATATTTTGAGACTATCCTTTTAATACTGCGTCCCCAGCATTCATAAAAAATGGTGTTCAAGATACACTACCCATGCAAATTATTTTTGCATCTTGGAAGCCAGGCAGTATCTGTGTGATTTTATAAAAATTCGGAAATGTTCTTCAGATATGAGCCCCTCTAAATATTGGGTGCGGAGCTACGTTTATGGAGCTGCTCCGCACCCAATATTTAGAGGGGGCTCATATCTGAAAAAATTTCCGAATTTTTATAAAATCACACAGATACTGCCTGGCTTCCAAGATGCAAAAATAATTTGTATGGATAGTGCACCTTGAACACCATTTTTTATGAATGCTGGGGACTCAGTATTAAAAGGATAATTTCACAATATATAGGCCTGGGAAAGGTTTAAGGCACACTGCGTCGCTATAGAATGAATTGCGCTACTATTTTCACAATTGTATAGATATTTGGTGTCAAATACACATATCTTGGTATATTTGAAGTCCCAAAACGGCTTAGTTTCAGAAATATCCCAAATTTAAATTCAAAAATAACCGTTAGCTCCGCACCCTCCGCTCATTTGCTCCGCACCCAATATTTCCCACAGGCTCTGTCTGCATAGGGTGAAAAAGGTCACCTGGAAACATGTACATGTAGACACAATTAATTGGGATGCCCACCATGCAAATTGATCACAAGACAGCACCCAAGGGTGCAATAAGAAATCTAACCTATAAAAGCTTGTTCATTGACACCAATCATGCATAAATAGATCCTAAAGTTTATTGAGTGAGTGCAGTCAGAGCAACCTCTGTATTATTGCACTAAGAGATGTAAACTATATTCATTAATCTACCCAGAAGCTGTCAGATAGCAAACAATCTTGTATGTCTCAGTATTTATTTAGAAAATGAAATCACCATATCACATAGAGGTACACGTTGAAAATAAGTTTTAATTTCATGCATTTTGGCACAATTCACCATGTTGTATTAACTGATTGTATTTCACATTACGTAGTAAATAAAGTTGATTTAAACAGGAAAATGCAATAAGAACTTGCAACATAATGGTAAAAGTCCCAATTTATCATTCATGGCCTACTTGTTGGAAACCGTACCATTTAGACATCATTTCTAAATCGACTTACATAACATTGATTCAATCTGATGTTTTTTGCACATTCTACTTAATCTCTTAATAACCTTCACTTTGGGTATGAATAGAAAAATTAACAGCCTGAATCTTTTTTTATCAGGAGGATGGAGTCGTTAAATATTTATCCCATGATAATGTCAGCATTTGTGAAGTAATAGCATTCATAAGATAGCGATGATGTGTTTCCATCAGAGCATATTTTTGTAAAAACTTTGTATTTTTGTAAAAACTTTGTTCAGAAATGGTTATCTGATGAGAAAAAATTTATTCCAAAGAATATTTTGGAATCGCTCAAAACATATCAATATTCATTAAGAGCATAATTTGATATTTCCCAAGGTCAATATCATGTTATCCTATGGAAGTGATGTTTTATACATGGTAGTAAAATTTTAAAATAAAATTGAACATTGAAATGTTAATATGAGTTCTGTCCTTGGATTGTACTTCATTTTTAATCCTTAAGGATTTTCCTGATAAGATACTTTACTTTTATTGGAACTTTTGAAAGACTCCTTGTTACATTCATATCTCTCTAAATTCCACATTTTATGGCATGAAAAGTCAAATCATAATATGAAATTCATGAAGGTATCTGCAAAATACTGATAGCATATGAAAGTTTGGATCGTGCAGGCTATCCAATTTATGATGAGGCACATCAAATTAAAACCTTGTAGGGAACTTTAGGATTTTGAAATGGATACAAGAGATGCTGAAATATGCATTGTGTAATTTTATATTATACTCAAAAGCCTTTCTGCAATTACTAGAAAAACAGCAATTCCACGGAGTAGCAAATCCCTCCAAACAAAACAATTTTTGAGAATTAGTGGCCATCTTAAAAATTATTTCTTGAACAAAGCATATCAGCAGCATATCAGAGCAGACTACCTTTATAAAATTTGAACCAGATCAATTCACTATGTATTTGATTTATCAAAGATAACACTCAAGAGTTATCAAGATTATGTTTTTTTACAAAAATGGTGGCCTATTTTAAAATTCAGAGGCCATCTTGAAAATTTCTTCCTGAGCAAAACTCCTTTGTCTCTTGGCATCAACATATAAAATTTGAACCAAATCCATAAACTACTATTTGAGTTATCAAAGATTACATTTTTTATGAAAAATGGTGGCCATTTTGAAATTCAGTGGCCATCTTGAAAAGTTCTTCTTGAGCAAAACGCCTTTGTCTCTAGGCATCAGCATATAAAATTTGAATCGAATCCATGAACTACTAATTGAGTTACAAAAAATGGTGGCCATTTTGAATTGAGTGGCCATATTGAAAATTCCTTCTTGAACATAGGTCCTACACCCATAAGGCATAAGTCTATAAAATTTGAACCAAATCCGTCGACCAGTATTTGAGTTATCGCCAGCACACACGAGCGGATAAACAAACGGACAGACAAATGAATGAACACACTGCTTCTCTATATCCCTATGAGCTCTGTTCGGTGGGATAGTGAAATTATTAGCTTATTCGGACCTTCAAATTAAAACTTTATTTATCAACCTCATTTCTAGCATTCTGACATGGTTGATCATAGATTGAACCACCTCGCTTTCATATTGCAAGTTTGAAAAGAAAAAGATATGAGTATGAGTGAGTATCGAAATGGCTCCTTTCCTACAATGAAAAGAGTCAGGGTATTATACCATACAACATATTTCTTGTAAAAATATCACTTTGCAAAGATACATTAGAAATTCATATCTCACTTATTATTGAGAGATAGCATGAGCTATTTAGAGTTTTATTGTCGACCAGGATGTATTATATGCGACCCACACTATAAAATTATATATCCTTACACATGCATCAGTATTCAACATAATGCATATAACTTTGTGCATGCTTTGTAGTTTTTATAATACAGTTAATGATTGTAGATACATTTTTACAGTTAATGACCAATGTAATCGTATAATGATACTATTTGTCATATAACGATACTATATGTCAATAAAGGTTCTATAATTACCTTAAACTATAACTAAGTAATGCATAGCCTTAATGGGTACAAAATAAAAAAAGATCTTTTTAGTACTTTAGTAAATGAATTACGGAATGGAAATATAAATACCTTGAACATTGTTCTATATGAGAAAATGAGAGCATAAAATATACTGTTTCCAAGGAAACTCATCTGCCAATTAGCAACCATCTGCGAAGAGGTGTTAAAGCAAATATTTTTGCTTACCATAAAATACAGAAATGTAAATAATCATTCTAAATGATCTCATTTTGTTGCTGGCCGATCAAAGTGTTCAATTAATTATCAATCTATTGGAAAACCTCATAAGATGCTCTATAAAGGAAAATACACGGACCTTTGATTATTAAATATGTTTTTTGTTTTGAATTACTTCAGCTACTAGCGGTTGAGGTCTAGAATGGCTTTTTCAGTTCATAAGCACACGTTTGACCTTATGATGCATAATAACATGATAGATGCGTTTCTATTGTCAATAACCAATAACCAGCTAGCGAGAGTTTGCCGATTAAAGAGGAATTTACATTTTAATGCTGCCAAAATCATAATAAGCTCAAGTGTAGCATTCATGAGTCTGAATGTTAAGTGACTAATAGCTTCCAGGGGCGTAGCCAGCTTTCAGTCAGGGGGGGGGGTGTGATAGGCCAAAAAAGTTCAGTTTTCAGTCATGGGGGTGTGATCGTGGCATTAGCAACCCAAAAAAAGATTAAGATTTCTTTGAATTTTACAAAAATTGATGTAACTTTCTTCAAACTTGAGCTAGATCCTTCAAATAATAAAAGCATGTTAAAGCACTTTTCTTCATCTATATAATGTTATATCATTGGTTATAGGGGGGTGGGGGGGGGGTGCAATCATTGCACCCCCTTCTATGGCTTCTCATAGACAGAAAGTGCAGTTTAATAATTTTCTAAATAAATATTCTGATAGGATACTAGACTACATAGGTGTAGCCCATAACCAATAATAATAGAATATTAGATAGAAGAAATGCTTTTTATTTGAAGTTTCTGGCTCAATTTTGAAGGAAATTCAAAATTCAAAACAAATCTTCAATTTTTGGGGTTTCTTATGCCATGATTGCACCTCCCTTACTAAAAATCAGATTTTTTTGGCATTCAGCTAAAATAATGATATAGCATATAATGATATAGCATATAATGATATAGCTGGTCTGAGAACTGAAGAAAACTCCAACTCCTTTCATTACGCATAGCAATCTCTTTTTCTAATGACTGGTTATGTAATGTGAGGTTTTACATGTACCCACATATTTCCTTGGTCACATTTGCTCCAATTTTCACTACGGCGCCCGGCCGATTGAGTATTTTTTTCAAAATTGAATACAATATTGAGCAAAACACTCAATCGGCTGGGCGCCGGCTGATGGATCGGAGCAAATTTGACCAAGGCATTACATATGAAAATGATCATATCTATCACTGTTTCC